CTGTGGTGGGCCACCTACATGGAGGTGATGTTTTTGGCATGCTCCTTGGTGCTGGTGGTGTACCTGGTTGTGGGGAGTGTCTGGAGACAGGCTCCATGCCACAGGTCCCCGGGTGGGCCCTGAGGCACTGGCATGGTGTGCCTGGTTGTAGGAGGGGGGTCCACTCCCCTTCTCCATGCCTTGGGTCCCAGGGCAGGCCCCAAGGCGCTGGTGCAGTGCTCATGGAACTCTTTTCCATGTTTGCAAAAATTAGAAACCCAGTCTCCAATCTTTGCTAAGTTAGACACACCCTGCCTGCTAAGCCTCCCACCACCCTGTGGATCATATGAGACCTTACCTCCCCTGCTGCCAAGGAAAGAGGACAGCACGGACCCTCAGACAAGCTGGGGGCCCTTGACATCAAACTGACAGAAAAACGCAAACTGCGCCATCTGAGTTTTTTCTTGGGAATCTGAACTGGGAAACACAGGAAGAGTCAGGGAGCTGCAGATGGACTGATGCTGAAAGGTCATGATGAGATGGAAGCCAGGGAGGCTGGTGTGGGAAGGAGCTGGGAGCAAGCCTGCGCCGTGGGGGAGGGGAAGGCTGCACAGACAAGGAAGGATGGGACCCTGGGGAGTTAGAGGACAGTGTCACTGGGTTCCATTGCCTTGCCCTTGGCATTTTCGGGATCCCAGGAGAACCCTGAGCTTTTATTGCCCCCCACACACACACTTGCACTCAGCGCCTGGTTACATTTGTGAGTCTGTAATGTTTGCAGCCCCACAGAGCGCTCTGCAGCATATTTACCCATCAGATCTGGGCTTTGCCCTGGTTTCTCTGTATCTTTGGCTCAGGCAAGAGCGTGGGCTGTCCAGTAATTTGTGCAGCTGGGTAATGTTGAGAATCGGTGCTCAAGGTGAGTAACTGAGTTAATAAAGGGATCAAACCAGATAGGCTCTTGGAGGATAAGAGCCACCTACTAAGGAGGCTTGTTACTACAGGGGTCCCCTCCCTCTTCCGTGGCACATACTCCCAATGAGTCATCAACAAAGAATCAGTAAGGTCAATTTTGCTGACTAATTTCTGACTCATTGTCTTCTTGGACCCTAAAATTTTCCATCAACTTTGACCGTGAGTTTTTTCCTTCTTGCATTTGTGAGGCACATGGTTCGGTTTGGTTTTATTCCTTTTTTTCAGTGTGTCACTTTATACTCT